GGCGATAATCGCACAGAGGGCGGTATCGTTTCAGATGAGTTGTCACGATCGGCGACACTGTAAAAAATCAGATTAAATGCTGGATATTCAGACGTTTGAATGAAATACATCAGAAAGCGTACAGTATACAGCATACTGTATACACTCAGTACTTGATACAATACATGTTACGGTATACCGTATACACTGCGATATACCGTTACATCACATTTCACAATATACCGTATACGTTAAAGTATAACGTCGCAATCACGTTACAGTATACCGTACGTACTGACTATGAGTAAAATAAAAAATATATGTGGAAATATTGCGCACTGAAGAAGTCATTATCATAACATCGGCTGGTTGAAATCCATCGTAAATATTCTCAAATGCAATAACACATAATAATCATAAATGAATAAACAACAAAATAATGATAACAATAAAAAATAATAATAACAAAACAATTGCAATAACCCACTCGATGATATCAGCAAAGAAATGAGCCAGCGCATCGAAGAGAGCACCGAATCGTTTGATAACCTTATCGAATGTAAAGAAGAATTCATCTTCAAGTTGTGCACCTTCCTTAAATCTCTTCATCACATCAAAAGATCTTTATTCATTGTGACCATGATACTGATTACATCTAATGCTAAACAATCGCATAAGCAAACTAAATTTGACCAGTAACATCCCCCTCCGTAATCATTCCCAATTAAATTCATCACTTTTAAACGTTGCCCCAAAAAGATTTCAGATTGATTTTGTTATCGTTCATTAATTGAACGCATCCATAGAATATTTCTTTGAAATATTCCGATATCCTTTCTTCTCCTAATTACACAATTCAAATAAACTTTATCTTTTCCTAATGAGCAAGCAATTCAATGAACAAATAACTTACAGAACAATTCGAACGCCAATTCACTCACCTCATTCGAATCAATGAATTTATCGACGACTGATAAATCGTCAAAATATGAAAAATCGAAAATCAACGGTTTGAATCGACTCGACGACGGATTAACGAAATCATCGGGGACTTGATCGGACAAACGTTGTATCTCAGCAATAATCGAATGTCCT